CCACTGAATGGTCACCAAAAAGGTTGGAACAAAGAAAAAGTAAAAAAAATAACTTTGCATATCATGCAAGTGTACAAAATATTGCATAGAATGTAGCAATACATCCAGAAGTGCTAAAATATTGTTTTTAAAAAGCAGTCCTATGGATCAGCATATAAGTACGGTACCTAATCCTAGTATAAAGACAAATGTCCATTACATTTACCTCAAGATACCCACCCATGGGGCAAGTATGTGGTTGTACCTGAGCACTCCATTGGAGCTTTGAGCATTTCAGATTGGACGATCTTCGCAGACAGCTAGATTGGGGCGGGTCAGTGCTGCTGCTATTATTAGATCTGACAGCAGTGTTCAACACAGTTGACTATGATCTGTTGACCCACCACCTCGCCAACGTAGGAATTCATGGTGTAGCTTTGAAATGGCTTACCTCATTCCTCCATGGTCGGGGACAGAGGGCGAACATAAGAGAAGCCAATGCTGGATCAGCCCAGTGGCCCATCCAGCCCAACACTCTGTGTCACACAGTGGCCAAAACTACCAGGTGCCATCAGGAGGTCCAGCAGTGGGGCCAGGAGAACACTAGAAGCCCCTCCCACTGTTGCCCCCCCCCAAAGCACCAAGAGGACAGAGCATCCCTTGCCCTAGCGTGAGAGAAGGTTTTGCCTCAACACGCTCTGGTACGTGGGGTCCCTCATGGGGCAATCCTCTCTCCGATGTTATTTAATATCTGTATGCACCCCCTTGCCCAGCTGGCACAGAGTTTCAGGCTGGATTCTCACCAGTACGCTGACGACACCCAGCTGTACCTGCTGATGGATGGCCAACTGGATACCGCCCCATCTATTTTGGCCAAAGGCCTTGAGGCCATAGCTGGTGGTTGAAGCAGAGCCGGCTGAAACGGAATCCTTCAAATTGGAGGTTCTTTGGCTGGGTGGAGGGGGTGTGGGATTGGGGTGCCAACTCCTGGCTCTTGATGACAGTGTACCTCTAACCCTGGTGCCAACTGCCAAAAGCTCTATAGAGGCCCAGGTCACAAATGTTGCCAGACTGGTTTTTCTTCAGGCAACTGGCCCCCTTCCTTCCCCCCCCCCGACTTGCCCACAGTAATCCACGCAGCGGTCTCCCTCCTCCAGGCTAGACTACTGCAACACACTCTCTGCAGGGCTGCTCTTGAGCCTGACCCAGAAATTACAGCTTGTCCAGAAAGCAGTGGTGTGGGCCCTTACCCCATCAACAGCACGTATCCAGACAGTGCTGTGTCAGCCGCACGGGCTCCAAGTGGAGTACTGGATCAGGTCCGAGCTTTTGGTACTGACTTTCACAGAACCGAACGGTCTGAGACCAGCGGATCTTTGGGACTGCCTCTCCTTAGATACCCCTAGAAGGGCGTAACACTCCAGAGAGAAGAACCTCCTGGCAATCCCTGGACCAAAGGAGATCGGCTGTCCTCAACCAGAGCCTTTCCAGCCCTGGCGGAACTCTCTGCCTCGTGACATCTGCCCCCTGCGGGACCCACGGCAGCTCTGCAGGGCCTGGAAGGCAGAGGTGTTGCGCCAGGCCTGTGGGTGAGCACCATCAGCCTGGCAGGCCCCCATCTGTATAGTTTGATTCTTGTTGTTATTCCTGTTTTTAAATTGTTATATGTTTGTAATTGTATTTATAACTTGTTGTTAACTGCTCTGAGCCCCAAATTGGGGGGAGGGCAGTATATACATGGAACGAATAAATACATAAGAAAGCTCCATGGGCTTGATGAGTTGCTCATGTTGGATCACAAGAATATTTGACACCACTTACTCCACGGGGGAACAGCTCCGTGTGACTAAGTCCATTCTGTATATGATGGGTTTTATGTATGTCTTTGAATTATACCACTGAGGAAAGTCTAATGCTGAAACAGATTTGGTATTGGTTCTTGCATATGGAGACAATGTGTACTTTTAAACCTGTATTTATATAAATGGACATTTGTCTTTATATTGGGATTAGGTGTTTATATGCTGAACCATAGGACTGTTGTTTTTAAATGATATTTTAGTACTTCTGAATGTGTATTAAATTATATACGATATCTTGTACATTTGCACTACGTGCATAGTTATTTTTTTAACTTTCTTTGTTCCAGCCTTTTTGGTTACCTTGCCCGTGCCAGGTTGTGTTTATCTCCCCTTTTTGGGGTTGTGTTCATTGTGTAGAATGGCACAACAGTGGGCCAAAGACCTCGGATGAGAAGTCCAAATGCTGAGCTTGCTTCATCTGCTGCGCCAGCAGTGAGATTCCCACTCACAGCAAAATGGCTGCTTGCTTTTGTCTGTCCGTTCCTTCGCCCACATGCCACCCCCCACCCCCCGGCAATGTTGGCACTGCAGGCCTCTGAAAAATCTGTGTTGGATGTCTAGATGCTTTCCTGGGCCAATGTGTGCTCAAGTCATGTCCTGGAAACTAGGTTTTGAGCGGTCATAAACGTCTGTGCATTGGAGCACCTGGTCAGAGAGAGGACCAGACGTCAGAGCTGACAGTGAAACTCAAGAGAGTAAAATCCCTCCAGGATGCTTGGAAACTATTTAAACTGCGCTGCTGGAGGCCCAGATAGAATGCATACCTCAAAACAGAAACGATACCACAAAGTCTAAAAAGATGCCTGTGGGGTTAACAGCTTAAGTCAAGGAAGCCATAAAAGGCAAAAAAGAAAAGAAAAGAGAGAGCTTCTTTTAAAAAGTGGAAGGGTTTTCTGAAAGGAGCACAGATTCTTGCAAAACAATTGTAAACTGACAATCTGGAGAGATAAAAGAGAATTTTGCAAGCAGCTTTCTAAAAACATTAAAGCAGACAATTAGCATTTCTTCAACTATATCAGGAACAGGAAACCAGCTAGAGGACCGTGGGTCTGCTGGATAACCAAGGAATGAAAGAATTGCTTAAGGGAGACGGGGAAATGGCAGGGAGGGGGACAGGATGACTTCTTTGCATTCATTTTCACTGTAGAAAATGTGGGGCACATACCCACTTCGGAGCTGCTGTTTTGGGGGGAAGGGTGTCTGAAGAACTGGGTCAAGTTGAGGTAATGAGATAAAGTTCTAGGACTACTAGCGAACTGAAGATGAATAAGTCTGCAGGTCCAGATGGCATACACCTGAGGGTTTTTAAGGGACTCAGATGTAAAACTGTTGATCTACTAACAAGCATATAACTCATAGCTGAAACTTGCCTCTGTGCCTGATGACTTGAAAGTAGCAAATATCACCGTGGTTTTTAAAAAGGGGTCCCAAAAGGATCCAGGGAATTACAGACCAGGTAGCCTAATGTCTGGTCCAGATAAATTAGTATAAACTGTTATTAAAGATAGAATTATTAAGCATATTGAGGGACAAAGCCTGCTGGGGGGAAATCAGCATGGCTTTTGCAAGGGGACGTCCTGCCTCACTAACTTCTTGAAGTTCTTTGAGCAGGTTAATAACCATGTGGAGAATGGCAATCCAATCGGCATTATATCCTTACATTTGTAAAAGGCTTTAGGCAGGGTACCAAAGACTCCTGAGTAAGCTTAGTTATCATGGAAGAAGAGGACATGTCATCTTATGGATTAAGTGACAGGAAATAGCAAGAATTAGATGGACAGTTCTCCCAGTGGAGGGGAACGAGCAGTGGGGCGCCACAGGGATGATGGACAGTTCTCCCAGTGGAGGGGAACGCTCGAGCAGTGGGGCGCCACAGGGACTGATAGTGGGACCAGTGCTATTTGGTTTTCTCCTAAATGATTTGGAGTTGGAGCTGAGCTGCATGGTGGCCAAGGTTGCAGGTGATGCCAAAACATTCCAAATGGTGGAGACACCAGGGTAGATTGCAAAGAGCTACAGGAGAATCTAACTAAACTGGGTAAGTGGCTAACAATGTAGAAAATATTCAGTGTTCATAAGTGTGAAATGATGCAGAGGTCCCTCAGTGGCCATTAGCCACAAGGTATAGATAGGAACACTCTGTCTGGGGCAAGGGATGCTCTGTCTTCTTGGTGCTTGGGGGGGGGGGGTCAACAGGGGGAGGGCTTCTGGTGTCCTGGCCCCACTGTTGGACCTCCTGCTGGCACCTGGGATTTTTGGCCACTGTGTGACACAGAGTGTTGGACTGGAGGGGCCTTTGGCCTGATCCAACATTGGGTTCTCTTATGTTCTTATGTCTGGGGCAAGGGATGCTCTGTATTCTTGGTCCTTGAGGGGGGGGGGCAACAGTGGGAGGGCTTCTAGTGTCCTGGGCTGGCCCCACTGCTGGACCTCCTGAGGGCACCTGGTATTTTTGTCCACTGTGTGACAGAGTGTTGGACTGGATGGGCCATTGGCCTGATCCAGCATTGGGTTCTCTTATGTTCTTATGGAAGAAGAAAATCCTAATTTTAAATATACACTGATGAATTCTGAACTGGCTGAGACGGAGAGGAAAACAGATCTTGGGGTTATAATGGAAAGCCTGGTGAAAATGTTACCCCCAGTGTATGGCAGTGGTGAAAAGGCAAACTCCATGCTGAGTTGTTAGGAAAGGAATTGAAATGAAAATGACCAATATAGTTATGCCCGTGTATAAAGCTGTGGTGAGGCCTGATTTAGAGAAAGGTGTGCCGTTTTGGTCACCATATCACAAAAAGAATATTGCACAACTGGGGAAAGTGTGGAGAAAGGCAGCCAGTGTGGTTTCCTGGGGAGGGTTTAATGAAGGACCACTTTTGTGGCTTTCAACTCTCCTGCCTAATTGGTTGCACAAGAACCTCGGGCGAAACATGGTCAGTGATCAGCACCTGAACTGGGCGTGAAGAAAAAGTATTCCAAATATCACTATTTCAGAGTCGGCTGCTGCTTGTGTCTGAAACATTCCTTGCTGATTTGAGTTGTGTCTACTAAAGGCCGGTCTGCAGAGAGGGCTGAAGGGGGGGGGTGTGCCTGAGCGGTCTGCTGCTGCTAAACTGAGCTGTTTCCGTGTGTCCCTTCTTCTCTCCTCGACACCCGCAGGTGACCACGCCGGAGGTGATGATGCCCAGCAGCATGTTCCTCCCAGCTGCTCCCCCAGACAGAGACGGAAACGCCAGCGCGGAGGAAGCGGGCAGGCCACCCGGTCAGTCTCCTGAGGGTCCGATTCCAGGCTGCTGGGCACGGGGGGCTTCGGGGGCCCCGGCCCTGGCCCTGGGCTCTCTTGCGCTCGAGCCCCGTGGGGGTGGGGGTGAGGGGGTGGCACCCCGCCCTCAGGGCCAGCGCAGCAGAGCCAGTGCCTTTGCTGTCTGTCGCGGGCAGAGGCTGCGGAGGTTCACTCTGGCGTGGGCCTCCTTGGGAGGGCCCAGAGCACCCGCCCTGCCCCTCGTTACAGGACTTCTGCAACTGGCCTCCCCTCGCACGTGGCCAAATGGGGGGACCCAGGCAGAGTAACAACGAGTCTTATTAAGGGATTTAACAACAACTTCAGAGTAATAACAAGTGGGGGAAATGAGCAAAGTAAAGGCAGGTAAATCAGTAAAATGATAAATCCTAGCGCGTCTGTCTGCACAGTCCTCGCCTTCCCTGTTCACGGTCCCTCCTTGGATGAGGGATCCCTCTGTCTGCGGCAGCCCCCTCCAGCCCTGCTGCTCCCTGGGAGGAGAGGGAGGAAAAAAAAAAACCCACCCCACCCACACACAGAGACACTCTGGGCAAGGCCTCTTGTCTCCTCCCCCCAGGCGCACCGCCCTCTGCTCCCCTGCTGGTGTGGTTTCCCCTCCAACATCCCCTCTTAACCAATCACAGGGTCCAGGGGGAACCTGGGAAATGTAGGCCCTGATAGCTACTCCCAGACAGGCTTCCCTGGAGCCACTAGGCCTCCCCAGAGCCTGCAGGCTGCACCACAACAGGCCCATGGTCGTGACAGTGTCCCTGGAGGGTTCACGAGCGGGGGCACTGAGGCCGTTGGTCTCCAGCTCCAGCTTTTGCGGTCTTCTCTCTTTCACGGCCGCTGGCGGGACCCTTGGTACCAGGAGGAGACTGGGCAGGAGTCCGGCTCAAAAGGGACGCACCTCCGCCATTCAGGGACGCTTCCTCTCCTCCAGCAGAAGGGCTTGTCACGCAGCCAAATAGTCCGGGCTGCCCCTCTCCCACATTCCCCCCCCCCCCTCCCCGGCCCCAGTTATGGCTGATGTGTCGCAGGATTCAGTGCTCGGGGCTGGTACTGGGTCCCGCATTCCTAGGATGCAGGTGAACCTTTCAGAGTGTGCTGCAGTGCTGGCCGTCCAGGGGACCCGCAGGGTTCCTCCGCTGGGCGGGACCTCTCCTCTCGGAAACCATAAATACAGGAGCCAGCCAGTTAATCACCCCCAAAGTTTTCAACATACATCAACAGTTATAACAGACTAACATAACAATTTAATATCAGATCCGTTCCCATATATAAAAACAACTTTTGCACTATAAATCCCACTGACTGGAGCCATAATTACAGGACATTAAGTTATTCAAGTCCAAAGGAATCTGAACTCCCAGATGTCTCTAGGAGTGTTTTGTCCAGCAGAAAGGGAATTTTGACTTAATTAAAAAAAAGTTAATGTATGAGTGGTTTTTTCTAAAGTTCTCTAAAGTTTTCTAAAATTAAGGTTAAATTGCCGTCCACTTTGCGATAAATAAGTGGGTTTTGGGTCGCAGTTTGGGCATTCGGTCTCTAAAAGGTTCGCCATCACTGGCCTAGAGCATCCCTGACCAGGGTTTGTTCAGATGCTGCTGAAAGACTGCCAGTGGGGGGGAGCTCATTGCCTTCCTAGGCAGCTGATTCCTCCGTTGCACAACTCTGACTGTAAAGCAGTTTTTCCTAATATCCATCCGGTACCTCCCCGCCCTTAATTTAGACCCATTCTTGCAAGTCCTCTCCTTTGCTGCCCACAGGAACAGCTCCCTGCCCTCCTTTGACACAGCTCTTCAGACACTTCAAGAGAGTAATCATGTCCCCCCCTCCACCTCCTTCTCCAGACGGAACATTCCCAAGAAGTCCCTCGGCCTTTCCTCCTAGGGCTTCTTGGTCTCCAGGGCCCCCCCCCCCTCATCCTCAGCGCTCTCCTCTGCACCCGCACCAATTAATTACTTCAGGCGATAGGAGTTTGGCCAGATTAGCCTTGGGGAATGCATGGATCGATCGGCCACTTAAGTTCTATGACTTGGGGCTGGATCTCCAGGGCATGTCTTTCGTTGTGCCCACCGGCGGGGAGCCACACAGGTTGGCTCAAGCTGGGGGTGGGTGGCTCCGCGTCCTACGACTGGGGATGGGTCAATGCTGACCCCTGGCCCGGATCGTGCCGCTTTACCTACTTGCCCTTGCTGTTATTTTCAACTGTGAATTTAATAAAGTGGCCCATAGTTCATCCCACTTTCTGTGTCTGACTCTTTATTCCGAGTATGGGGGCAATACTTCAGGAGCAGCCTGACCCATGCCGTGTACAGTGGGATACTGATGTCTTGCCATTTGGACATTATGCCTCCGTTGATACATCCCAATACTCTGCATTAGCCTTTTTTATCACTTCTGGCTGCTCATACCAGACTGGCGACTCGGCCTGAGTCTCCGACATGCTGGCCAAGCCAACAGGCTCATGCCAGGCTGCCAGCCAGTATCCCAGGAGCTTTTCAAATGGGGTGATCGGCAGAAATAACATCCAGCAACACGTGTCATCACAGCCGCCTGAAAACCCCGATGTGATGTCAGCACATCGGGCAACACTCTGGATGACCCGAAATCTCCATAGTTCTTGCAGGAGGCCAAAGCACTGCCCAGCATGCTAATGTCATATCCAAGGTTTCAGGCAGGTGTGATGTCAGGCATTGCTGAACCTCATTTCCAGCTCTGGGCCTTTCTCCTCCCACCCTGAGGAGCAGGAGGCCTCCCACGGTGAGCGAGCAGGCCACTGGCATCCCTAGGCTTATGTGTTCATGTTTCTGTGAACCGGCCCATTCTCAAGCCAGTTCATCGCTCAACAGATTGGCAGTGGCTCTCCAGGGCAAGGAGGGATGCTGCAGCGTGAATGCATTTACCATCGCAGACACCTGGCCAGCTGCCCCCAACTTTAATGAATGACATCGGAACTCCTTGGGCAGGACAACAGGCAAAAGATGAAGTATTCTCTGCATATCACAGAGAGAAGTAAAAGAACCAGAAAAGGCCAGCTGTGTAAGCCCATACTGAACACAGTCAGTTCTGGAAATGAAAACCCTTTCACACATGAGGCAAACCTGGGAATGGGATCCAGTCAGGGCGCCTGACTAATGAACCAGCACGGTACACGTTGGTCACATTCACACTTCACGTCTCTTTGGTGTTCATCTCAGAGAGACAGGAGCGGCTACACAAGACAGGCATGAGTCCTCTGGTCCAACACAGGCCACCTCTGTCGGGGGCGGGGGGAGGCGGAATAGCTAGCTGGCTGCTTCCAGTGACTGGCATGTAGAGACAAAGCCAACTATCATAATAACCAGTGTAAAGAAATAGAAGAGAACAACAAAAAAGGGGAGAACAAGAGATCTTCTCCACAAAATCCAAGAAATCATAGGGGAATTTAAAGCACAGTGAGGCATGCTTAAAGATCAACATGGAAATACATTAACTGAACAGGACAAAATAAAGGAAAGATAGGAACGATACACTGAAGAACCATACAGGAGAGATGAAAGCATGACAGATTCCTTCCAAGAAGACTCATTTGAAGAAGAGCCTGCAATCTTAGAAAGTGGAGCGAAAGCTGCACTGAGAGCAATTGGGAGAAACAAATCACCAGGAGTAGGTGGGAAATCAGCAGAGCTATTTCAAGCCACAGAAACAGAGAGCCCATCAAAGTCATAACAAAAATATGCTAACAAATATGGAAAACCAAACAATGTCCCACAGATTGGAAACCCTAAATCTACATTGCAGTTCCAAAAAAGGAGACGTCAAAGACTGCAGCAACTATCAGACGACTGCATTAATTTCTGACACGAGTGAAGTGATGCTCAAAATCTTACAACAAAGACTCCTACCACACATGGAACAAGAAATGCCAGATGTTCAAGCTGGGTTCAGAAAAGGAAGGGGTCCTATTGCACATGGATGCTGGTTACTGGCGCATACAAGAGAATTTCGGAAGACAATCAGCTTGAGTTTCATAAATTACAGCAAAACTTTTGACTGTGGATCATGAAAGCTATGACTGGTTTTAAAAGAAAAGGGTGTGCCACAGCATCTGATTGTTTTGAAATACAACCTGTACTCTAGGAAGAAGGAGGAGGATATTAGACTTATACCCTGCTCAGAATCTCAGAGCGGCTTACAATCTCCTTTCCTTTCCCTTCCCCTCCCCTCCCCTCCCTTCCCCACAACAGACACCCTGTGAGGGAGGTGGGGCTGAGAGAGCTCTTTTGAGAACTGCTCTTGAGAGAACAGCTCTGAGAGAACTTGTAACTGACCCAAGGTCACCACAGCAACTGCATGTGGAGGAATGGGGAATCCAACCCAGTTCTCCCCGGTTAGAGTCTGTGCTCCTAGCCACTACACCAAACTGAAGATAAAGACTCCCCATCTGCGCCCCCCCCCGTCCGAGATAGCAGAGAAGTGCTGCCAGTTGGAGCAAACAGGCCATGGGCTTCATTTGCAGGGAGGGGCCAGGACATGACACCGCTGCTGACCAATGCTCCCTCTAAGCCGTGGAGTCTTGTGAGCAAACATTCTACTTTGTGAGCTCCTGGCATTAAAGTTGTGAGCGACTGATTTGGCTACTGCATAAATTAGTTTGCTCTGGAGCCATCCTTCCTGAGCTAAGACAAAAATGTGTGAGCCGTAGGCTAAAAAACAGTGAGCTAGCTCAAACTAACTCAGCTTAGAGGGAACACTGCTGCTGACTCCCCATACATGTCAATTGCACACTGTGCAGCAGCAGCAGCCAACAGGCCCCCACTTTGCAGCAGCTACAAGAGAGTCCAAGCCGAGGGCTCCAAATTGCTCTCTGGAGGTCTTGTTACTTGTTGATTAGCTCCTTTTGGGAACCTCATCAACCTTCCTACAATAATAAACACTCACTTCACTGGGAACTCTGTAACAACCTGAGCCGCCCTGAAGGCCCCTGGCCTTGCCTG